ATGAGGTTAACAGAACAGCGGGCCACAGACTGAATAAAGAATATGAAAAGTAAGTTTGATTACAACTCACCAGTGAACATCATAAACGGTTCGGTCGTGATAGCCAGATAAGACGCAGACTGTCTTCCATTTCGGGTCACTTCCGTGGGTTGGCACACCTTTATTCAAGGTAAACACAGGCAGAAAATGTCATCGTTAGTAGTAAACGTAATGGGGCATATGGCTAGGAAAGAGGGAAGTAAACTCCTGGGACTTTACATCATAGCTCTGTTGCGAAAGTGAATGCCAAACACTCTGTTTTGGCTACGAAGTGGTTGTTGTGCACAACGCAACTTGCTGCAACTGCATTATCACGGATAACACGACCGATGGCGGATTAAACACAAGGAATTGAACACAAGAGTCGGAGAGCAGAAAGAATTCTTCTGCAGAAAAGTCGGTAACGGTTGAAGCGAATTCGCACTTATGCGCTCAATGCAACCACGTCCTGTGCATGTATTAGAGCTAAATAAATACCTACTTCATCTCCAGGTTCATAACACTGCCATATTCTTAGTTTTGTCATCATCACTACACGAAACTGAAAAAAAAAAAAAAACAGGAAAAGGAAGTAAACCAAAACGGTTAAAATACAGATCCTAACCAGCCTATCTGGTATAACATTCAAGGAATTTTCACTTAGTGCAGGTAATAGCACGATTAGTAGTGATATTTCAAAATTGTCATACGTAATTTCACGAGCCGTCGGGCGAGTGAAATTTGAGACAATTTTGAAATATCACGAGTGGTATTTATGCCAAATATCACGTACAAATCATTCTATGATTTGTTTATACTACTACCCGCAAAAGATTTGTAATTTTCATATGTTGGTATTTCAAAGTAAGCTGAAATACCACTGCTCTAAGCCAATCAAATTGCAGTAATTTCTCATGTAGTAGTATAAAGGACGTAATTCCGTTTTATAAGTATTTTTAGACTTCCTAGTTACATCTAACAATAACAAAAACGATAGTTAAGGCGTAGGACTACATGTGATTTGGGTTAAGAGCGAAAAAAAAAGAGTCTAAAAGCTTAAACGTGTACTCTTTTTTGGAGAGAACTGAGTTATAATGATGTTTAACTTAAAAACAATATGAAACTTTACATAAAGAACCTCAAAGGTAGGTTGAGTGACAGCTGTTGTTTGTTAAAATAATTTCTGTCACAAGCTGTTGTTTATATCCTTTCAAAAAAAGGGTGGAAATAAACGTAATCACAGCAATTCTTAGGCAGTATTCCACATATCAAAACGTGTGGCTGTGATAACTAACAGAAACCTCAGTGGTACCAACCCATCCTGTCACCAGTTTTGTCAAAACTAATAGCCCACACTGTAGACTCGTGACCTTCTAACGTATCAAAACAAGACCTGCAAATTTAAAGAACACACAACGTAACGTTATCAATGCTATTTACTATAGCCTCGTAGTTATCATCGTCACTATCATCAAACCTCAGACCACATGCTTAATTAACAAGCAACCGATCACAACTTTCTTTTGACAACCCTCTTATGAATCACGGAAATGACGTCAAATCTTCAAAAATATATTTGCGGTGAAACTGCTGAAAATTTTGGGACAATTCAGTAAACTGAAGATATACAGTCAAACCCCTACATTATGAGGCCATCCTTTGTTATGTGCTCACTTACCAAAGTCTCCAAAAACATTTCTCATAATTACTGTCAAACCCATGGTCCGAACATAGTTATTAGAGGAGACTGGTTATGAAAAGCGGCAAACATCAATGATAAAAACAACAGTGCTGCAGTTTATGTTGGAAGCACCCTGAAAGTGCACAATCCTTTGTTTTCTGTTGACAAATTGTTACGGAATAAATTAATGCAACGTTTTTATTGGTCAACACAATCAAAATGATAGGAATTCTTTTGAACGTTGTGCACTTTTAAGTCCACAAAAACATATAACAAAGGAGTCTGACGGGTTTCATAACCATTCCACTCAATTAACTATGGTCGGAACAAGTTATCTTTTTATTGTCTTCGCCTATGCTTAACGGTCACTTTGTCAAGAGGGCATTAAGTTTGCCATGTCTTCAGGGTGGCCACTATGTTTCCTATCTTGCGAGACGCAAAATGCTCGGGTAACAGTTAAAAAACGGACAAAAAATAAGTATATCCTGTACGCGTTGTGACATTTAAATCTTTCCAAAAATATTATCAGTAAAGAAATAACTTACCAGTCATCGTCATCTTCTTTGTAAAGTTTTATTGTATCGTCGTAGCTGCACGATGCCAAAATCTGAAATCTTGCAAGGCGAATATGGCCCTTTCTTATGATTTAAGTTTTCATATGCAGTCTTTAGTGGAATCGGTATGGAATATCAAACAAGTCACATGCTGCTTCTTCGCCGAGAGCTTTTCACTAACAAATTGTAGACAGAGAAACCCTAGACAGTTATGTTAAACTGGTAATTACTAACTATAGAGCACTCTCTCTGAGCGATTCTTGTCTCGTACGGTTACGTCTGCCTGTGGTGGCCATTCCTTCCACATCATCCTGTTTTAATAAGTTTTAGCGTTTTTGGCAAGATAAATCCTGGAATCCGAGCGTGAGCGGTGATGTCTATTCTCTCACCCTCTCACCCACTGCCTCCCATGACAACGCGGCGTCAGTTTCCGGCTTCGCACGGTCAACAAAACGCCTAAGCACTAGGCTGCGCTTGAATATTAAAAACAAAAAGAAAGCTTTGCTGTTGGTTTCCTTTTAAGGATGAAAGGGAGTAGTATAGCACAAAACGGTACTCCTCCAATAAAGCTGGAATGTTCCTTGACAGGCTTATCAGAACGAGGTAGGATACTTCCTTTCAGGGGTATGGTTCGCTTCAACTCGTTTGTCGTTGACCGGCAACCTAGTTATGCAAGTTGTATTTCTTTCCGTGCAAATAGTATTAAGGAGGACGCGGGCAAACTATTCTACTAACACTAACCACCACAGATGTTTGTGACGACTTTTCATCCTGCTTTTAATTTAGCTTGATTTTGTTTTAAAGAAAACAGGCCGTGAAAATGGCACTAATTTATTCTACCCAACAATGATGAGATTCCAACTTAAAAGATGGGACTTACCAGTGCACCCTATACTACTAAGGTGCTGAATTGCAGGCACAGGTACATTATTCTAATAACACTGACCTCCACATGCTTGTGAAGATTTTTCCTTCAGCTGTAGCTAATTTTGTACTTAAGAACATAGCCCGTGACATCACTGGCGTTAATTTATTCCACCAAACAATAATGAGACTCCAAGTTAACAGATCGGACTCAATCTCTACTTTTCCCTCTCGCTCCCTTCTCCACTGTTTCCTCGTTTGACCTCGGTTCAGCTTTCGCGCGGCTTTGTTTCCTACTTCACGTACCACAAACGAAAAGNAGCGGCAAACATCAATGATAAAAACAACAGTGCTGCAGTTTATGTTGGAAGCACCCTGAAAGTGCACAATCCTTTGTTTTCTGTTGACAAATTGTTACGGAATAAATTAATGCAACGTTTTTATTGGTCAACACAATCAAAATGATAGGAATTCTTTTGAACGTTGTGCACTTTTAAGTCCACAAAAACATATAACAAAGGAGTCTGACGGGTTTCATAACCATTCCACTCAATTAACTATGGTCGGAACAAGTTATCTTTTTATTGTCTTCGCCTATGCTTAACGGTCACTTTGTCAAGAGGGCATTAAGTTTGCCATGTCTTCAGGGTGGCCACTATGTTTCCTATCTTGCGAGACGCAAAATGCTCGGGTAACAGTTAAAAAACGGACAAAAAATAAGTATATCCTGTACGCGTTGTGACATTTAAATCTTTCCAAAAATATTATCAGTAAAGAAATAACTTACCAGTCATCGTCATCTTCTTTGTAAAGTTTTATTGTATCGTCGTAGCTGCACGATGCCAAAATCTGAAATCTTGCAAGGCGAATATGGCCCTTTCTTATGATTTAAGTTTTCATATGCAGTCTTTAGTGGAATCGGTATGGAATATCAAACAAGTCACATGCTGCTTCTTCGCCGAGAGCTTTTCACTAACAAATTGTAGACAGAGAAACCCTAGACAGTTATGTTAAACTGGTAATTACTAACTATAGAGCACTCTCTCTGAGCGATTCTTGTCTCGTACGGTTACGTCTGCCTGTGGTGGCCATTCCTTCCACATCATCCTGTTTTAATAAGTTTTAGCGTTTTTGGCAAGATAAATCCTGGAATCCGAGCGTGAGCGGTGATGTCTATTCTCTCACCCTCTCACCCACTGCCTCCCATGACAACGCGGCGTCAGTTTCCGGCTTCGCACGGTCAACAAAACGCCTAAGCACTAGGCTGCGCTTGAATATTAAAAACAAAAAGAAAGCTTTGCTGTTGGTTTCCTTTTAAGGATGAAAGGGAGTAGTATAGCACAAAACGGTACTCCTCCAATAAAGCTGGAATGTTCCTTGACAGGCTTATCAGAACGAGGTAGGATACTTCCTTTCAGGGGTATGGTTCGCTTCAACTCGTTTGTCGTTGACCGGCAACCTAGTTATGCAAGTTGTATTTCTTTCCGTGCAAATAGTATTAAGGAGGACGCGGGCAAACTATTCTACTAACACTAACCACCACAGATGTTTGTGACGACTTTTCATCCTGCTTTTAATTTAGCTTGATTTTGTTTTAAAGAAAACAGGCCGTGAAAATGGCACTAATTTATTCTACCC